GTCTGGTAAATAACATGTCTTAGGGAAATTGTCTTATTAAATAATAATTAGAGCCCTTGCTCAATAGAACGTTAGAATCCTAGTTTCATAAATGAGACCCCCTTTGCCATTCATTCTTTTATTTTTTGTCTGTATACCTGTAAAACTAGTAATGTAAGAGAATAACAAAAATAAATCCAAGTGAAGTGAATTCTTCTTGGTTCTAAGCTTTGCTTTGGTAGTTATCTTTGCAGTTTGAGTTCCTCCTTGGTGTAATGGCAGAACAAAGCAAAAACTTCTTCAGTTATTTTTATTTTTATTATTTTTAGAGACAGGGTCTCTCTCTCTGGAATCTATGCTGGAATGCAATGGCAGCATCATAGCATACTGTAATCTTGATCTCCTGAGCTCAGGCAATACTGCCACCTTAGCCTCCCAAGTAACTGGGACTACAGGTGTCCACTGACATTCCTAGATAATTTTTTAAAAATGTTTTTATAGCGACAGGGTCTCACTATGTTTCCTAGGCTGTTCTAAAACTCCTGGCCTCAAGTGATTCTGCCTTGTTAGCCTCCCAAAATGTTATGATTATAGGCAGTAGCCACCATGCCCAGCCAGGATCTTTATTGGTACTTACTGTATTAGTTTTTCATGCTGCTATGAAGAAATACCTGAGACTGGGTAATTTATAAAGAAAAAGAAGTTTAATGGACCCACAGTTCCACATGGCTGGGGAGGCCTCACAATCAAGGTAGAAGGCAAAGGAGGAGCAAAGGCACATCTTATGTGGCTGCAGGCAAGAGACTGTGTACAGGGGAACTGCCCTTTATAAAATCATCAGATCTCATGAGATATATTCATTATCATCAGAAAATCATTGGGTAAAACCACCCCCATGATTCAATTCGCTCCTAATGGGTCCCTCCCATGACACGTGGGGATTATGGAAGCTACAATTCAAGATGAGATTTGCGTGGAGACACAACCAAACCATATAATTCTGCCCCAGCCCCTCCCAAATCTAATGTTCTCACAATTCAAAACACAACTATGCTCTTCCAACAGTCCCCCAAAGTCTTAACTCATTCCAGCATTAACTCAAAAGTCCAAGTCCAAAGTCTCAACTGAGACAAGGCAAATCTCTTCCACCTAGGAGCCTGTAAAATCAAAAGCAAGTTAGTTATTTCCTAGATACAATGGAGGTACAGGCATTGGGTAAATACACCTGTTCAAAATAGGAGAAATTGGCAAAAACAAAGGGGCCACAGTCTCCATGCAAGTCCAAAGTCCAATAGGGCAGTCATTAAACCTTAAAGTTCCAAAATGATCTCCTTTGACTCCATGTCTCATATCCAGGGCATGTTGATGCAAGAAGTAGACTCCCATGGCCTTGTGCAGCTCCACCTCTATGGCTTTGCAGGGTACAGCACCCCTCCTCCCAACTGCTTTCACAGCTAGCATTGAGTGCCTGTGACTTTTCCAGGTGCACAGTCCAAGCTCTCAGTGGATCTGCCATTCGGGAATCTGGAGAACAGTGTCCCTTTTCTCACAGTTCCACTAGGCAGTGTCCCATTGGGGACTATGTTGGGGCTCCAGCTCCACATTTCCCTTCTGCACTGCCCTAGCAGAGGTTCTCCATAAGGGCCACACCCCTGAAGCAAACTTCTGCCTGGACATCCAGGCATTTCCGTACATCCTCTGAAATCTAGATGGAGGTTCCCAAACCTCAATTCTTGATTTCTATGCACCTGCAGGCTCAACACCACGTGGAACCTGCCAAGGCTTGGGGCTTGCACCCTCTGAAGCCACTGCCTGAGTTGTTCTTTGGCCCATTTCAGCCATGGCTAGAGCAGCTGGGATGCAGGGCACCAAGTCCCTAGGCTGCTCACAGCAGGGGAGCCCTGGGCCTTGTTCCATGAAGCCATTTTTTTCTCCTAGGCCTCCAGGTCTGTGGTGGGAGAGGCTGTTGTGAAGGTCTCTGATATGCCCTGGAGACATTTTCCCCATTTTCTTGGTGATTAACATTCGGCTCCTTGTTACTTATGTAAATTTTTGCAGCTAAGTTGAATTTCTCCCCAGAAATGTGGTTAACTTTTCTATCACATCATCAGGCTGCAGATTTTCCAAACTTTTATGCTCTGCTTCCTCTTGGATACTTTGCCACTTAGAAATCCCTTCTGCCAGGCACCCTAATCATCTCTCTGAAGTTCAAGGTTTCACAGATATATAGGGCAGGGGCAAAATGTCTCCAGTCTTTACTTTACTCCAGTTCCCAATAAGTTCTTCATCTCCATCTGAGACCACCTCAGCCTGGACTTTATTGTCCATGTCACTATAAGCATTTTGGCCAAAGCTATTCAACAACTCTCTAGGTTCCAAACTTTCCCACATTTTCCTGTCTTCTGAACCCTCCAAACTATTCCAATCTCTGCCTCTTACAAAGTTGCTTCCACATTTCTGAGTATCCTTATAGTGGTAGCACACTCCCAGTACCAATTTACTGTATTAGTCCATTTTCACACCGGCATGAAGAAATACCCAAGATTGGGTAATTCATAAAGAAAAAAGGTTTAATGGACTCAGTGTCGTGTAACCTCACAATCATGGCAGAAGGCAAAGGAGGAGAAAATTCACATTTTACATGGAGGCAGGCAAGAGAGTGTGTGCAGGGGAACTGCCCTTTATAAAACTATCATATCTCATGATACTTATTCACTATCATGAGAACAGCCTGGGAAAAACCCAGCCCTCTGATTCAATTACCTCCCACTAGGTCCCTCCCACAACACGTGGGGATTATGGGACCTGCAATTCAACAAGAGATTTGGGTGGGGATACATCTAAACCATATTAGGTACTATGCATGGAAATGTTCTTCAGGTGTAGATGACTTTAGCCTTCATTTAGTTCAGCTTTCTATTTATATAAGGCTGTGTTATGTAATTTCTCCAATTCACAATTATGCATTGTTTGGTTATTTGCATTCAGTACAACTCTATTACAACTTTATGCTATTTGCACTATTGTCAGACTGGTCAAATTAGCAAAAATCTCCTGCTTATTTTGAGCCAAAATGAGACTGCTTAAATTCTATTTACTAATGCTAAGTTTAAGGATTACTCTTATGTCTGGAGTAAGTCTTATACCACAGTTCCCTTGATGTGTTCCAGGATAGTGCTTCACACATCTGCAGGAAACTCTGCTATAGCCCTTTAGTCCATTGTAAATGTAGCAGCTTCCTTCATTCATTCTTTACATGATTCATTTTCAAACATTTTTTTGTGTGTGTGCTTCTATGGGGTAGCATGGGAGAGGCAAGAGAACCAAAACCCTCCTCTCATCCTTCAATTTTTAGTGGAAATTAGAAATTCTTCCACTTCTAACACCTAAACAGATAGGTAAATAAGATAATTTCAGGGATAGAATGTAAAATGAAGACCAGCCTGAACAACGTGGTGAAACCCCATCTCTATTAAAAATATGAAAAAATCAGCCTGGCATGATGGCACATGCCTATAATTCCAGCTACTCAGGAGGCTGAGGCAGGAGAATTGCTTGAACCCGGGAGGTGGAGGTTGCACTGAGCCGAGATTGTGCCATTGCACTCCAGCCTAGGCAACAGAGTGAGACTCTGTCTCAAAAAAAAGAAAGAAAGAAAGAAAGAAAACTGAAGGAAAAGTAAAATAGGGTAAGATAATAGAGGGTGATGAGGAATGGGGAGTCAGGTGGTTAATTTTGATAATGTTGTTAGAAGAGTGCTCTGAAGAAGTCTCATTTATGTTTAAATCTAAATTCCAAAAGGAATTCACCCAAAAGGGTGGATTCCAAAACTACCAAATTTATAAGGCAGAACCTTACAATTAAAAGGAGTAGAGATAAAAATGCCCTAAGCAGAAATAGCATAAACACAATTGGATGACTGGGGGCAAACCTTCCTCTGAACCAATTCTACTTTTTCCATATTGCTCTTAAATGGTGGGGCTCAGAACTGGAAAAAATGGAATAGGTGAGCTCTGATCAGTGCACATCACAGATGTCTTCGTAGTCTCAACTGTCAAGGTTGCATTTAGTAACCTATGACACCGCAGACTTGTTTAAGCTTCTGACAGCTTTGATATTGAGAACCCACATGAACTACCTACCCTTCAAGACCATGTCCTCACACCTGTATTCATAAAATCTATAAAATTTTAATGTAAATGTAGAATTCCCATATTTTTCATTTTATTTAATTCTATTTTGATTTATATAGAGTGTAACAACCTTGAGGCATTTTGAACTCTGTTTTGGTCACCACTGTAATCTAGCCATCCAACAGTAATTTGTTAAACACATTGTATGTGCTTCTATTAAACACTTACGTGAAGATGTTCACCGAAACAAGACTGAAGGTTGAGTCCCCACAGCCGTCCTCCAGAAAACGTTTTCTCCATGTTCAGAACCACCAATACATCATAGGATGGATATAGAACCAATTTTATTTTCACATAAATAATACAATATCTTAGTCTTAATTCAGCATGTTTTTGTATGTCATGAGAGATTACGTCCAATGCATTCATGAAGTTGAGATAAAATAGCTTTAGCACTATTTTATTAACTAAGTAACTAAACTGAAAGAAAGGAAAAAGAAGCAAAAAGGAAAGAAAGAAAGAGAGTGGGAGGAAGGAAGCGAAGGAGGGAGGAAAGAGAGATGGATGGAAAAAAGAGAAGGAAAGGAAAGGAAAGGGAAAGGAAGGGAAGGGAAGGGAAGGGAAGAAAGGAGGAAGGGAGGAAGGGAGGGAAGGAAGAGAAGGAAGGGAGGAAGGAAGGAAACCTTGACTAAATTTGACACAACGATCCACCTAGTCACCTGTGTTGTTTTATGTAATCTTGTTTTCAATGTCCCTGAGATACCTGCATCATAACAGTCTGGAGAATTTTGACATGGTGGACATTGCCTTACCTGTTTTTGCTGAGGAGGTAGAATGTTCATGTTCTTCTCCCTGATCATTGCAGGACTGATTCATTTTCATCCTTCAGCTTTCAGCATTGATCTCACCTCCTCGAAGATGACATATCTGATCCCTCTGTCTAAAGTAAGCCCCATTCACAATATCGTTTTATTCTTTCTCCAAACATTTTTATGGATATACCATAATTAATAATGACATATATTTGTTTATTTGACTTTTATTCTCTCTTCTACCAAACAGTAAGCTTCAGTAGGGTTGCCTGGTGCTTACTTAGGTCACCGCTGGAACCTCATTTCCTGGCATGGTCAAATGAATTAATGAACAAATGAAGGCACATGTAAATGTAAGAATAAGATATTAATTAAAACTTGAGTTTTATAAGTAGGCAGACCTGAGGTAAAATTCTGGCATAACCATTTACTAGCTATATTCCTTTTGGAAAGTCACTTAGCCTCAGAGATTCCTCCTCCTATAAAAATGATTGTTCTGAGATAAAGAATGTGGAAATGACTGCTATGTGGTAGGTTCTTACTGAATGCTAGTTTTCTTCTCTCTCTCTCTCTCTCTCTCTCTCTCTCTCTCTGGACACAGTCTTGCTCTGTCATCCAGGCTGGAGTGCAGTGGTGCAATCTCAGCTCACTGCAACTTCCGCCTCCCAGATTCAAGTGGTTCTTCTGCCTCAGCCTCCGTAGTAGCTGGGATTACATGTGCCTGCCACCACGCCCGGCTAATATACATATATATTTGTATTTTTAGTAGAGATGAGGTTTCACCATGTGGGCCAAGCTGGTCTCAAGCCTCTGACCTCAGGTGATCCACCCTCCTCAGCCTCCCAAAATGTTGAGATTACAGGCATGAGCCACCATGCAGGACCCTTTTTACCCATTTCTGTAAGCTTTTAGCACTTCTCACATTCTTCCTGCATTCTCAAAGATTATCGACATTGTCTCTAACTTATCTGAAGGGTTTTATCAATAGCACTAAATTCTACTTGGGTGTTTTTCATTTTAAGTTTTCAACTTCCTCACATGATTCTTTCACTTGCATATCCTTATAGGATGTTTTCTTTTAATTTTCTAGTTGGAGTCCCATTTCTTCTCCAGAAGCAATCTTTACCCCCTCTACGTTATCAAACATCATAATTTTCTAGGTAAGTAACTTAGATACTCAGGTCATATTTACATATTAGATATCAAAGATATATTTGTTGATGAGTAAACTGGCTAATCAGGGCCTTACTCTTGGTAACTCTGTCTTCCATCCCCACAGAGTAGAATTCTTCTATAACATGGAGGTTTCTTTGGTTTTGAGAAACTCTTAAATTCTTAGAATTAAGAAAGGATCTTAGTAGACAAATCAAAAAGAAAAAGGCTAAGAAACCTTAGTGAAAAAAGTCAAGAATATATCCCATACATCCAGATCTTAGGCCAGTTCTCTTTCTCGTAAGATTAAGAACTAGCATTTGATAAGTAATACTACCATGTGCTGAGTAACTAATTCATTTAATTTTCACAATAACCCTAGGCAGAAAGCAAACAACATTATCATCTCCATATAGAAACAAGCTAATCACGATTGGTTAACTTGTCTAATTTCTCACTGCAGAGTGCTTGTCTGACTCTGTTGTGACTAAACATGGAATTGTGTTGCTTCCTTTAGTTCACCTTAATGGCAGAGAAAAGATGACGTCAAGAAAATATAGCCTACATTGAATCACTTTCCCTTTACTGGGTTCTAAAGAACAGGAATTGGTAATGGATTCCAAGCATCCTTGAAGAAAAATTCAGCAGCCAAGAAGAATCTACACTACTCTGTTTCTAGAATACTATAAATGGGGTATAATTGAAAGATTATCATGAAATCCTTGTCTAAGCCAATGTCTAGAAGGGTTTTTCCAATTTTATCTTCTAGAATTTTTATAGTTTCAGATCTTAGGTTTAAGTCTTTAATCCATCTTGAGTTGATTTTTGTATAAGGTGAGAGATGAGGATCCAATTCCATTCTCCTACGTGTGGCTAGCCAATTAACCCAGCACCATTTGTTGAAAAGGGTGTCCTTTCCCCACTTAGTGTTTTTGTTTGCTTTGTCAAAGATCAGCTGGCTGTAAGTATTTGGGTTTATTTCTGGATTCTTTATTCCATTCCACCAGTCTGGATTTCATGACCAAGAACCCAAAAGAAAATGCAATAAAAACAAAGATAAATAGCTGGGACCAAATTAAACTAAAGAACTTTGAATGGCAAAAGGAACAGTCAGCAGAGTAAACAGAAAACCCACAGAGTGGGAGAAAATCGTCACAATCTATACATCTGACAAGGGACTGATATCCAGACTCTACAACAAACTCAAACAAGTCAGTAAGAAAAAAGCAAACAATCCTATCAGAAAGTGAGCTAAGGATTTCATGACCCTCAATCTTTCAGTTATGCCCCATGTATAGTATTCTGAAAACAGAGTAGTGTAGAAAATTGAATAGACAATTTTCAGAGGAAGATATACAAATGACCAATAAATATATGAAAAAATGCTCAGCATCACTAATGATCAGGGAAATGCAAATCAAAACCACAATGTGGTAGTGGTAGTAACCACTACCTTACTCCTACAATAATGACCATAATAAAAAAATAAAAAAAAACAGTAGATATTGGCTTGGATGAGGTGAACAGGGAACACTTCTACACTGCTAGTGGGAATGTAAACTAGTACAGCCACTATGGAAAACAGTGTGGAGATACCTTGAATAATTACAAGTAGAACTACCATTTGATCCAGCAATCCCACTACTGGGTATCTACCCAGAGGAAAAGAAGTCATTACTCGAAAAAGATACTTGTACATGCATGTTTATGGCAGCACAATTCACAAGTGCAAAATTGTGGAACTAACCCAAATGCCCATCAATCAATGAGTGGATGAAGAAACTGTGGTATGCATATACGATGGAATACTACTCAGCCATAAAAATGAATGAATCAACAGCATTTGCAGTGAACTGGATGAGACGGAGACTCTTATTCTAAGTGAAATAACTCAGGAATGGAAAACCAAACATTGTATGTTCTCACTGATATGTGGGAGCTAAGCTATGAGGATGCAAAGGCATAAGAATGATACAATGGAGTTTGGGGATTGAGGGGAAGAATGGGAGAGGGGCAAGGGATAAAAGATTACAAATATGGCCCAGTGTATACTACTGGGGTGATGGATGCACCAAAATCTCACAGATCACCACTAAAGAACTTACTCATGTAACCAAATACCACCTGTATCCCAGTAACTTATCAAAAAATAAAATGAAATAAAAAGAAAGATCAAGGGGAATCAGAGGTAAGAGGTACACATGAAATTGACTTCCATGGTCATATTTTCCATTGAAGCTTTTGGTAAAGCTGCCCAATGACAATCTGGTATTTATGAATTTCCTCCCCTAAAAAAAACCCCCAAACTAAGGTGTTCTTAAGGTTAACAGATCTATTGGCACACCCCCAGCCCCCATGAAATGATTTTACTATACTGTTGTAAAACTATGACTGGGAAGTTTCACGATTTCCTCTAATATAAAAGTACCAGGGAAAGGTTAAGATGAACAAACTGCACAACTTAGTATTTCTTAATTGTAATTAATTGAGGCCTGTGATTCAATCTATTATGGATATCATTTTTTAAACACATGCTATATACCAGGCATGATATTAAATATTTCATGTATACTAACTTTATTCCATGAAGCATTCTACAAGGGGTTTATTATTCACATTTTACAAATGATGAAAATGGCTCTAAAGGCTGGGCACGGTGGCTCACACCTGTAACCCCAGCACTTTGGGAGGTTGAGGTGAGAGGGCTGCTTGAACCCAGAAGAACTGCTTGGGCCTGGGAGGTCAAGGCTGCAGTGAGCAGTAGGTCAAGTGGTAATTGTGCCACTGTACTTCAACCTGGGCAACAGAGCAAGACCCTGTTTCGAAAATGGAAAAAAAAGATAAGAAGAAGACAGATAAGAAGAAGAAGAAGGTAGCTCAGAAAAATCTATTGGATTTGCCAAGACCAGATTGCAAAGCCAAGACTCAGGATGCCTGCCTCCACAGTTTCTTCCACTATCATTCTTATAGCTGGTATCAGTGTCAATATTGTTAGCAAAGTCCTGTTAGCAGAAAAGTAATTAGGCTCCTGAAAGGGAATATGAACAAATGGAGAGAGCTGTAATTGGGGACTCAAGGGAACCATGAGGAAGTAGTGCATAAAATTTTAGAGGAGAGGGCATAAGGAAGTGGAAAGGTAGGAAAATGGAATACTTCTAAGACCAATTTCCATCTTCTATTATTGACTTTCTCTTTCTGTGCAGTGTCTCCTGTGAAGCTTAAGGTAGCAGCACACTGCAACCAGGAATCTCTATGAACATGAAAAAGAATAATATTGCCTCTTCTGAGCACAGTGGCTGAAACAGAATTACTGACTAAAATTCAAAGTGATAAGTGATCCTATCTTGGCAATGCTTTTGAGATTTCCCTTTCATCTTTCAACACTAGAGCTGGGCATTATCACCTTCCAGTTGTTTTCCAGCTGTTTCCCTTGGATCTTAGGGGACCACAAAAGACAAAATTGGAGGCCGAAGGGCAATGCTTAGGCCATAATGCCACCTAAACATCAACAGATCTTAATTTATATTTTGTTAGGAAATCATTTGGAAAAATGTAGTTATTCTATTTAGAAAATAAAAAATAAAGAAGGAAAAAAGTTACTTTTGTATTTTATGGGATAGCAGTCTTAGGCTCAAAGAAGCTGTAAATAGTTGAAAAATTAGGTTGCCTTGAATATGAGAGTGAAATTTAGACAGTAGATCTTCGTACACCCACATCAATGCTAATTCCACATATTAAAAAAGTTTATTTTTCAGTATTTAAAAATACTTCTTAAAATTTAACATAATATTTTTTAGTATTGCATCAAATATTAAAATCAGTTTTCTACAGCATCCCTAAACAATGACACTTCATGTCATATTGCAAACCTACAGAAACTGTCTTTGACCAGTTGAAGCTGGCTTCTTGGAAAAGACCTGAACTCATACAGTACTTTGATTGTAATTGATTGAGACCCATCCTGCTGCTGAGTGAATTTGTTCAATCCTCTCATTTTCAGAGGAACTGCTACAAAAATCATTTTTTCTCTTGGTCATTGTTTTTCACATTGTGTATGCTTCTTTGATTTATTCTATCCCAGGCAAAGGGACAGACTGATGCTTCTGCCTAGGCTGTTCTGATTGGTTGCTTTGTGATATCATAGAGAAAGCCCTAAGGACCAATTCTGATCATGCATGTTTGAACTAATTTAAAATGCCACTGTTATTGCATTTAGTTATTATTTTTATTGAGGTATAATATGCAAACAGCAAAGTTCACAGATTTTAGTGTATGGCTCAATAAATGTTTACATATAAATGTAATTATGTAACCAACAACCCAGATAAAATAAGATCATCCCCAGCACCCAGAAGGTTTTCAGTCTGCTTCAGAGTCAATAACTGCCCTCTGCTATGAAGTAACCAATTTTTTATTTCTATCATCATACATTTATTTTGCCTGTTATCAGTTTAATAGAATCATGGAATATGTGCTCTGTTGTGTCTATCTTTTTTCATTCATCATTATCTCTGTGAAATTTATCCATGTTATTGCATGTATCAATAAACTGTCTCTTTCTATTATCGCTGAATAGGTAACATTCCACTGAATGATTAAAAGATAATTTGTTTTTCTATCTTCATGTTGATGGGCATGTAACTTGTTTCTAGTTTGGGGCTCTTATAAATAAAATTATTATGAACATTCTTAAATGTATGTTTTGGTGGGCTTATGCACTCATTGTTTCTTGGTAATATACCTAAAAGTAAAATTAATGAGTCATAGTTTAAGCTACTGTTTGACTGGAGTAGATACTGCTTAATAGTTTTCCAAAGTATTTTAACCATTTTACATTGAACCACATATTTTTCAATATGTATTTTTATTTCGCATTATAGCTGTTTTATTTTTATTTTTTGTTTTTAATTTTAGAGACTGGGTCTCTTTTAATTTTAGAGACTGCACTCCCAGGCTGGAGTGCAGGGGTTATTCACAG